CTGTGTTCTTTTGTTTGAAGGCATCGCTATCTTTCCTCCATACATGATTTCTAGAACTACGTCCAAACAACTCAATTTTGGTTTCGTCTGTCCATAATATTCTTTCCGAATATAATTTTTCCTTATATTTATGTTCACGAACGAATTTCAACCTGGCATCTCAATGTCTTTTCAATAGCAGTGGCGTTTTCCGAGGGGAGCGTGACTAGATTGTTCCTGTAAAATTCTTTGCTTAGTGACAGAAACTTGAAAGCAATTCATTCTGCAACTTAAGTTAAGTAACCATTGGATTTTGTTTAATTTGTAGAAATTAATTTCCTTGAAGATCTTGAAGAAATCTTCCGTGGAGCACCTTTGCTTCATTGGTTTTCAACAGTTTTGAGTTTTTTAAACTTTGCAATAAATGAACTAATGATAGTAAATGGAATATTCAAGTTGTCTGAGATTTTCCTATAACATTTACCTTCTTTCCAAAGCTTATCATTTCTTTTTTCGAATTTGTCAATTCTTTACCTTTTGCCATAATGATAACTTTCTTGCACGAATATCAATTACAGAATGTTCTGTTTGTATTTTTTAGGTTAAAAATGACTACTGATAACATTATTGGAACATTCTAGAATATTCCACTTGAATAATCTAGTGTATTAAAGCAATTTAAAAGATTTAAAATCTGAAATCTTCATTGTACGAATACTTTTTTACCCATTCAAATGGATAAATGGGATTTATTTCTACTAAATCAATTTTTTCTGTTTTCTATGCACATTTAGTGATTATGCATCTGTGTTCAGTTAATTATACGAAAATTTTGTTTATTCCTTAATTGAAAATACAATTTGCATGTGTACGAATATTTGTTTCCCCCACTGTAGATAAACCGTTCTTTTATATACGTACATAAAAGTGTATATGCCGTGTTGTTTCTGAAGGTATCCCCATTGGGCGCCTCAATGTGAAGAAATGGTTAATAAGCTAACGTACAAATATCAAAATAATGAGATACTCCCTGGATACCCCACATTTGTATCCTTGGGTCAAAACACACTACCCTTTAAAAATACTTACCAATACTTAGAAACAGAGAAAATATTGCTGAACTCCTATTTAGTACCAGTCATGTATTTCCTCAGTTTTGAAGAAACTTCAAACAGCAGAGATGTGGTTCTACAGAAGGATGCTGAGTATACTATGAACGGAACATGAGCAACGAGAAGGTTTTTAAGGAAAATGGAAACAAAAAGGATGCTTATATTTAGAATCAGAAAGAATTGACATTTCTCGCACGCATAATAAGGAAAAATCTTGGATTGCTTTATTCTCACGAGGTATATTGAACGCTGGAGGGACATACAAAAAAGCAAGGGACTGACGTAACGAGCTTGCGTAAATGGATGGCAGAACAGGGATTGAGAGGGGTAGTAAGGAGGCAAATATTCCCTAAAGCTACAAAGGAAGGAAGATGTGGAGAGCCATGTTCAACTTAACGAGCTTGGGTAAATGGAGGACCAAAAAAGAGACTGGGAAGGATAGAAAGGGAGAAACATTACTTAGAGCTACAAAGGATAGGAAGTTGTGGGGAGACATGATCGCCCAGACTTAAATCGAAAAATATAACGCATACTTATATACGTACTTGCACGAACAACACACGCATACCGTAATTATTTGTGTATAATACGCACCGATTACTTTTTGTTCTCAAATTTTGGTTAAATTGATCTCGTATATAATACGCAGTATTTTTTTCATTTGTAACAGCTAAATTTAACATTTACTCAACTTTTATCCGTTTTGCATCAACAAAAAAGTCATTCAAAAATGCTGCATCTGACATTAGGAAGACATCTAATCGACTAAAAACGTAAATAGACGTCGACCTTTGACATGGACAATAATGACGTAGACCAAAATGTGTTTAATATTTATGTGAATATATATTTTTCAAACAAATTCTGTTTGCCTTGCCATTTAAATTCTTAGTTTCGACCATAAATATATCTTTCATTCGTATCGTCCGTATACGTCGATGCACGACGTCGTACAAAATTCATGTAGTTTTCGTGTGTAATAAGCACCCCTAATTTGTAGGCGAAAAAACATTTGGAAAAAAAAAGTCCGCATTAACGTGAATATATAGACGAACAATATCTCAAAATTAATATATAAACGGATATTGTGCACAATATCGTTTTCGAAAAAACCATACAAAATCAAAATACAGATCAGTCGTGATGCTTGGCAAGCGTTTCTCTCAAACCAAATCACGTGTGACTTGGTTTCAGACTAAAAACGAAGCAAATGACGATAAAGTTATTTAATGAAGTATCCAAAACGTAATCGATTCGAACGTGTTTCGTCGTTTTTATTGATATTGCCAGAACGTTTCGGCCACGAAAAAAAGCCAAAAACTCCATCCTTCTTCAAATATCAATCCGATTCAGTAGGAATTTCGATCTGAACCTCTTATTTTATCCCGGGGAGGGAGTGAAAATCGTTGCTAGTTTATTCTTCTCTCCATTCTAGGGGAGATAACTTGTATCACTTAATTCTTCTTAATTGGTCTGTTCTTGTGATACCGCTTTTTGCTATTTTCTGCTCAAGAATATTTTATGGATTTATTGGGCCAGTTCTAAAAAGAGCAAAGTATAATAATAATGACAATTCCTCATTTAAAAATTTTTAAAAAAAGTCCTGATTTGAGCGCAAAACCAGACTCATTGTATTCCAAGTCAGGAAGGATGAATTCATTGGCGTGAGTTATTAACGCATAGAACGGTTGTACATCGACAAGTACTTCATATATATATATATATATATATATATGAAATGAACTAAGTTCCACAATTATTTTAATATATTTTCTGTTTATTCGTTATTTTTATAGATACAATAATTTAAGTAAATGCTCTGTTTATAATAATTAATTACATTTATCGGCTTGAATGTCCGAGAAATTTAGTAGAAAATATCAGTCCTGAGACAGGAATTGAACCTGTATCCTACACGGAGCCGTCATTTGATCAGACTCTGACGTGCTATGCCATTTAGCTACATCATCTGGGTAGCAAAGTCCAAATTACTGTTTTTAAGAACAATAAAAAATATTTTTTTTTCTCCTATTTTCATTTATGAATAATTTTGCAATAAACTTGATGCTCGGTTAAATTTCGAATTTGTTATTTTAAATTTAACTGTGAAATTAAAGCTTTATTTGTTATACAGTGTAACCCGGATGTAAGAGAGTTGTCGGGACCGGAGAAGTCTCTTATATCCGGGTTTCTCTTATATCCCGGTTTGGTCTATTTTATATACATTAACACAGGCTCTAATTTGGGACCAGAGAAAATCTCTCTTATATCCGGGTTACATTGTATTGATTTGATTTAATCTAATGTTAACTTTAATGCACTAATAGATTGTATTTAGGGTCTATTATCACATTATTTGGAATTACCATATACTTGTATTCTGATTGGCTATCATAGGTTACGTAACAATGTTTCCTTTATTGAGTGGGTTTGGTCGGTTTTTGAAGTCATAAAAACCTGCAATTTTTGTAGTGATGTTATAATAGTTGTAATTTTGAATAAACACATACACGCGCACACACACACACATATATATATATGTATATTAATGTAAATTTGGGCAGCAACTTTTCTTTTAAACATGCCTCATTGAATAGGATAGACTCGGAGAATATGATTAATTATTTTTATTAGTTTTTCCGACATTCAGTAAAGGAGTGCAAAAAGTGTCTGTGTCGTTCATTGTCCTAAAAACGCTTTCGGACACTTCGTTAACCATTATGAAGGGGTTTGTTTTAGGTGTTGTTAATTTCTTTTCATGCTTGGATGTTTAAGTTGTATTTCTGTGTTGTTTGAAAACCAGTAGCAAGCCTTTATTCGACTGAGCGTCATTTTATTTAATAAAAAAGAAACCTTCAACACACTATTCCCGCTGCTGAGTTGAGATCTATACTGGATGCCAGATTGTTATATATATATATATATATATATATATATATATAACCAACATTTCCAGATGGGTTTCTTGACCAGAACACATTTAAAAGAACGTACGCACACTGAATGTGCTGGTGGTTTAATGGTTAGCAACAGAAAGAGAAATAGATCAGCCGAGTTTGCATTCACTTTCGTTCAAATACCCTTAAAGATAAAGTACGAATCCATTTCTTTTTCCCACAGTTATTGGTTAAATAACAGCATTGAATAAGTTTTCTTACCTTGAAGTGACAATTAACAGAAGGAAAATTCTAAATTCAAAACAAAAGAGATATGCTCTGTCTGGCTATCTGGTCACAGACACAATATTGTTTTCTCTGGCTACAGTAAATGTGGTCGTCCCTACGATCCACGTGGGTTACGGAGCTCGTGATAAGGCACATGCACACGTTAAGTACTCCACAATTATAGCCATGAGCCAGAAAAAGCTACGCTTAGTATATTAATAGACACAAATTTCTGTGTACAGGCGTACAAACGAAAGTACACGCAAATGGAAAAGCCTGCAAGGTCAAACCAACATTTACCGATAGTCTGCAATAACCGTTTGACCTTTTATACACACCAACTCCAACTAGAGATCCTTGAAAGAAAAATCAATATCAGAGATTTGATTGTTTGCATCGACGAAATATCAATGAATGCGGGTCGGCAAAAAGACCGGCTGACATCAGTCTCATCTTTGCACTCGTCATATACTGACTTTCAAGAAATCAATTTATTTCTCGTTTGATTTGGATAAAAAAAAAAAAAAAAAACAGTATGTATGGTAAATACTCGTAAATTGTGCTAATATTTGTAGGTTCCGCTGATAAAAGAATTAACATTAACATCTTCAAAAGGCCAGTTACTTTGGTTGTTATATCAATCTTTGTAGGAAACAAGTGTTATAATTAGTTTTATTAAATCTAAATGTAGTGTACTTGGTGGCTAAGACGGTTGCGTATTTCCAGCCCCAAATCTGTGGCTTCGGGCCAAATCACGTTGAAACACCTGTTCTCATTCGATCACCGAAGTTAAATACCGTTGAACCTGGTCAGTACCTTGATGAGTGACTGCTGGGAAATACAAAGTGTTGTAAACTTGGATGTGCGGATGGTGTAAGGAATGAAATCTCGGAGAGCGGGATTCGAATTCCAGTCGAGTTCGTTATATTCATTTAAATGCAAATATCCTTGGGAAAGGCATGAATCGACCTCTTTTTCTCCCAGCTATGGGCTAAATAGTAAGACTTGTATTACCAAAATCTTATTATTCTTAAAAGAATTCTTACGATCTAAAAATGTTTCGGTTTTAAATAACCTCAGAAAGGTTTATAAGCCGTAAAAAAAACAAATCAATCAATAAAAACCAGAAATCGACGCTGGAACAGAGACAAAAGCCACAATTTCGAAAGGTGATTTACTGCAAAGATCCTATTTTCCACACATTTAACTTCGTGCCATACGAAGCAAATATACAAAAAAGTCAACGTTTACAGAAATTTCTAAATAAGACAAATCAGTTTCAGTTTATTTTGTCTACGACGAATTTGTACAGCAATAAACCAGGTTTAATAAAAGGTCAATATGCAACTATTCTTTCTCCTCTTAATCTCAATATAACCCTGACTTCAACTGTTAAAATAGACAAATCTGTATATATGATGGGATATGAAAGGTGTTCTGTACTATGAGCTCCTGGAAAACCAAACGATTCCTTCAAAGAAATATTGTTTTCAGTTACACCTATTGAAGAAAATCATCTTAAAATCTTAAACAGAAAATATGCAGACGTCATATTCCCTTAAGGATTGCTTGCTATGAGTAGAGGGAGCCCGTAGAAGGCAGCTTGTCTAGGTTAGAGTACCTAGATCTGAAATGTCCGCACCGTGCAGCCATATCTAAATCTGGAGTAGGCGATGGAAGTCAATCGAAAGGGAAAATCTAGAGTGAAGTCCATTAAGCTATTGGCAGTCAACATTGACTCCCTTTCGGCAACACTTACAGCTAAGTCAGTTACAAACGTAATGCTTTGATTTCGTCGATTTGTCCAAGAGACGGGGGTTGTTTTCTGAGAAGCGCATCCATTACATCCCGGTGAGTTCACTCCATTCTCATTACATTATGAAATAACAGCATTTCCAGTCTCGTATGTGAATACGAATATGCATAACTGTCGTAAAATTCGTGATAGTGTTGTAAAGTTTTCGACCTATCCAAGAAAGCCTTTTAAAAAAATCTGTCTGGTCAGAATTTAGAAAGAGTTCCAGGTAGAAACCAGTATTCCCTCGTTATATCTTTCATTTACTGGCAACGGACATTAAAAGATTTTTCCGCCATCTTAGTAAAAACAAGTTGTTGAATAAATCCGCATTTCAAGACCCATTAACAGTCGTGTATGTTTTTCTTTCTTTGCGTTCGTGTCCATATAATTTATTCCCTAGAAAAAAACTGTTCTCTGTTTTTCCTTTCGAAGCATAAATTTGCCGAGGAAGCGTAGAGCGTGCCTGTTTTTATATCTATTAACGTTCGTCAACCAGACACTAAAATGTCAGGATTCAGTTGGAATTGCTATGTGTTCAGTATTTTTTTTCCTTTCGTAACATAGCTGCATAAGAACTCATTTTCGGTAAGGTGGCGTTAAATTTACGTGCAATACCTTTTCTTTTTCCTCCTTTAATAACCATCATTACCAGTTGGAAAACAATCAACATCAGAAATTGGTTGTCGGATGCCTATTAACTCGAAAATCGTTGTTTCTAATTGTGCACATCAGGTTTGATGAACTCTTTATTTCCTTTTACATTGTCCTTTCCGCTTCATCTAACGATGCTGTAGATACATTGGTGACAACTTCCTCTTAATATCGATACATTGGTGAAAACCTGTTATTGGTTCGTATCCTCTGAATATTGCAATTCATGATGCACGCATCCTTTACCTCTAGTATTTTTTTTTTGTTTAAACTTTCCGTTTCTAAAATTAAATATTTTTCGTACTTCCATGTATATATCTGTATTTATCACAAATTGACAGAATTTTAATAATGTCAAATGTAATCGCCCACAGAGTTATGGCATCTGACAATCAACAGACACACACACATTATGTAAGTTTCATTACAGAAGACTACGATTAAGATTTTTGTTTTTTGTGTTCGTATAAGTGTTTTCTTTTCTGGATAGAAAGTGTGTAAAAATTGTTCAAAATTTTCTGCATATCCGAGCGCTTTCGGCTATTCTTTTCGCCATTATCGAGGATGATTTTTTCGTTATTTTTAGCTAAATGTATGGATTTTTTATGTATGTATCTAGAGTTATAGCAATGTTTTAGTCCCCATCTACGATCATAATGTCAATATCTACACTCAAACCAATTGTGTCAGGATGGGAAATCCACTCAGGCCGTGTTTTCCTAACTACTACATGTTCCATGTAGAAAACAAGATATTTAAAAACATTTTTTATTTTAGCTGAAAACAAAAAAGAAATTGATAATCTCAAAAGCATATTTGAAAAAAAAAAACTGTCCTTTTCTTCACCTATGAAGTCAAAAAAAAGTACCATTCTTAGACGTTCTCGTAGAATTCAGTAGTAACACATTCACTACTTCGTTATACAAAAATCCCACTAGTAGAAACTCTTGCTACCTTAATTTTACGAGTGAATGCTCTCTTAGATATAAAGTAAACGTTATAAAAAATCTCTTCAAGAGGGTAAACGAGAATTCTTCCTCTCGTCCCCTTTCCTTTAAAGAACTCAATAATGTGAAACAGACGCTAGTTAAAAACAGTTTTCTGAACTCCCTCTTCAACCAGCAGATCAGACTATTCCTTTCTAAAGTAACTAATAGCAATAATGAACAGACAGATAAAAGCAATAACATTAACATTTTCCATTAAAACGAAATATACTTAACTATAAGCAAGATGAATTTTATCTTAGAAACATTATAAAGAAATATATTAAACCAGTCGACCAGAACAAGAAAATTATATTATCTGCTTTAAAAAAATGTAAACAGTGAACCTTATCATCGCCAATAACAACACACCTACAAGATTTAAATTACAGAGAATCAATATTACTTATGAATTCAGATGCTCTTTAAGGAACAGCGTTCCTGATCAAACCAAACCCATGAATAATTATATTGGACATACCACTACATGCCTATCAAGAAGGATCTAACCATAGCTTAATTAGCATCCATTTAAACAAAGAAACTCCATCCGCAACCTACTTGTAGAAAATGCAAAGTTAATAGCCGCATCCATATGTTAAAAAAGACTAAAAATAATGGAAGTAAAAAAGAAAAAAACAACACTCAGTAGCATCAACTATGAGCACAGCCACAATGTGCGAAGCGTGTTTAAAAAATAGAACATTCCTATAACTCTAGATACACACAAATAAATTGATACTTTCAGTTAAAAATAAAAAATAAAAATTGTCCTAGATAGTGGCTAAAAGAATAGCCGAAAGCGCTCGGATATGCAGAACATTTCGAACACACTTTTTACACATTTTATGTCAAGAAAATAAAATGTTTATACGAACACAAGAAAAATAAAAAACTTAATTGAAGTACCTTGTTAGTCGTCTGTAATGAAACGCGTATAAAATAGGGATTACTGCCCAAATACACACAACACACACACATTTTATATATATATTTTTATATTTTTTATTTTATATATATATATTATATATACATATATATATATATAGAACAAAACTATTAAATAAGTGATATAAACAGATTTTTACTACGTTAATAAAAACACCGATTAAAAAATAAATAAATAAAATAAACAAAAAATAAAAATAAATAAAAACAAGCAAAATAATTTAACCCAAATAAATAAACGACTTCCGGTAAAATAGCCACCATAATAGACTACCCACAATGCACCACTGACCCGTATATATATAAATAGCCGAGAAAAATAACAGCACACGTGGCCTGACGATTGCATTTAGTATGAAACAGACTGTCGCCTCTAAGTGTTGACTTCTATGTTCACTTTTATATTTACACACGCTCTATCTCTGATATTGAGCACTTTATCCCATAAATATAGCACACCTTAAGACTATATATATATATATATATATATGCAGAAATATAGTTTTAAAGTGTGCTAGATATATGGGATTAGTAGCTCAATATCAGAGATAGAGCGTATATAAATATAAAATTGAACATTGATATCAACACTTAGAGGCGACTGTCTGTTTCATGCTAGACGCAATCGTCACGCCGTGATGTTGGATTTTTTCTCGACTATTTATATATATGGGTTAATGGTGCATTGTGGGTAATCCATTCTGGTGGTTATTTTGGCGGGAGTGGCTTGTTTTTTATTTATTTGGGTTAATTTATTTTACTTGTTATTTATTTTCATTTATATTTTATATATTTATTTATTCTTTTCCGTTTTCGATGTTTTATTAACGTTGGAAAATAAATTTGGGGATTAGTTTAGGTCGCTTATTTAATAGTTTGTTTTGGTCTGGGAAGATTAATCTATTTATTCGTCCAATTTTTGGATTGATTGCCGTAGTCTATTCTGCTATTTTGGCGCGGTACAGTTTTTAATTTGTTTATTATTTTATTTATTTATTTGGATTGAATATTTTTAAATGTTTTTGCTTATTTATGTTTATTTTTATTAGTTCTAACGGTTATTTTAGCGGGAGCGATTTGTTTATTTTATTTTTTTTTTAATTAATTTTTTCTTATTTATTTGCTTATTTTTTATTTTGTATATTTTTATTTACTCTATTCGGTTTTCGATTTTTTTATTGTTATATAGCAGTTATAGCTATTTTCTCGTTCAATTTTTGGATTGATTGTTGTAGTCTATTGTAACGGTTATTGGTTTGTTAATTTGTTTATTGTTTACTTTATTTATTTGGATTGGTTATTTTTACTTTTTATGCATTTATTTATTTTTTATTTGTTCTATTTCGTCTATTCTAACGGGTGTAGTTTGTTAATTTGTTTATTATTAATATATTTTACTTGTTTTTTTATATTATTTTGTTTATTTTTATTTATTCTTTTCAATTTTCGATTTTTAAGTAACGTAGTAAAA